GGAATTCTGGTCTTTAAGAATGCTAATTACCTGTGTGATTTAGGGCAAGTCACTGTCTCCTCTTCGAACATTAGTCCTCACATGTGTAAAAGGGACACTATGGTTGAACTCATACTAACTCTTACTAACTCTGTAAGCTGTATTTTCATGAAATACTTTCAATGCCAAAGATGGAATATTAAGCAGCTTTGACAATCAGGGGACTAAAGAAATAGTAGGCATAGGGCTGGAGGTATAGCTCAGTGGTGGTGTTTGCTTACTCTATAAGAGGTCCAAGTTCAATCCCTAGCACTGAAGAAATATAAAAGAAATAGTGTACACACTGTTCTTTTCAAAGTTCCTTTTCTTCTTAGGGTATTTAGGAGTCTATTTATTAAAAAATACTCAGCTCCAGACAAACTCGTTTGTCCCATTGGTGGTCTGTATCTCCTTCCATGTTATTGACCCACCAGAAATGTATGCTTCCCATACTGCTGCACCACTAAGGTGCAGCACACCACAAAAGAAACTGCACCCCTCTTCAAGGCACCTCACTCATAGCTGTGTCGTCCTATTCAATTAGAGGTGGCAAAGGCTGGCCTGGCTCCAAAGGAAGACTGTCAATTCCTCTCCTTTTCTGTGTCCACGCTCTGCAGGATGCTTCCTCACGCCCACCTCTCTCCCCCTTGCTGTGACTTTGGCTTCCGCCAGATGTCACACCGCTGCTTGTCACCGCCCAGCCTCTAGTCGCTGATTTTGTTGTTTCAGTGTATTTGTCACAACTGTTCTCTTTAGCTGTAAAATTTATGGAATTTCACGCTCTTCTTAATCACCGTGGTGTTTCTTTTTCTTGATAGAGGGACTGTACAAGGAGTTGTATGCACAAGAGTGAGGGAGGGAAATGCTCCATCTAACTTAAGGAAAGTTTTTGTGTGTGACATGTGGACTCCCACCCCCCAAATATATGAGTCCAAAGTGGAACTGTGCTTATTTCTGTAGGACTGAGAGGCCTAGAGATACTTTAATGGTTGTAATTTATATTTTTATTATCATTTTTAATTTGTACATATTATTGGGTATATTGCAATAATTCAACACATATGTATACAGTGAATGTTTATCAAATCAGGGTAATAAGTGTTTCCATGTCTTTAACCATTAATTATTTTGAGTTGGGAATTTTATATTCTTCTTTTTTTTTTTCTTTTGAAGAAAGAGTTGAGAGAGGAGAGAGAATTTTTTAATATTTATTTATTTTTTAGTTTTCGGCAGACACAATATCTTTGTTTGTATGTGGTGCTGAGGATCGAACCCGGGCTGCACGCATGCCAGGCGAGCGCACTACCACTTGAGCCACATCCCCAGCCCTTATATTCTTCTTGACATTTTGAATATTATTATACATTGTTTGCCCTGTAGTTACCCACTTTGCTAAAAGAAGAACCAGGAATACTTTCTCTATGCTGTTAGATACTTAAGTTCTTTTCAGTTCCATGTACTTCAGGAAGAAGTACATAGAAGATGTGCTTATTAGCTAATACCCTTGACTTAAATTTTATTCCATTTACAACTATAGAAAGCTGGACAATTTAYTCTTTCTCTGTGTAGCATCTTGGGTTTAAAGAGAGGTAGAAAGAGAAAGATCCAGAGCTAAGCTAAAAGCAACAGATATGTGAATTTGTAGAAATACTAGCATTTGGGGCTGGGGTTGTGGCTCAGTAGTGGAGCACTCACCTAGCATGTGCGAGGCAGTTGGTTTGATCTTCAGTACCACATAAAAATAAGTAAATAAAATAGAGGCTTTGTGTCCAACTACAACTAAAAAAAAAAGAAATGCTAGCAGTTGACTTGAACTTGGGTCAGTTCTCAGATACAGACCTTTCACTTTCTTACATTGGTTTAGTGGTTTTGTGTGTGTGTGTATGTTGTATTAGGCATTAGCCACATATGTAATGCTTTCTGGCATGGTTATTATCCATTCAACAAATACTTATTGAGCATGTATTATATACTTAAATATCATTGAACAAGCCAGAAATAGTCTTGCCTTCTTAAGGTTTATAATTGGCATAAATATTTGAGTAGGTGGATTGTTGTATTTATATTTTGTTTTTTTCTTGAGCACACTACAAGCAGTCACATATGTGTATGCTGTAAGCTAGCACAAAATTGAACTCCTTAGAATTTACCTTGTTCTAGGAAAACACTAATAAATCCAGAAGAAGAAATATAACAGTTATGAAATGTATAACTATGGCTTTGTCACTTTGAATGCTGTGATTCTTAGAGTGAGAGAATGATAGTATGTAAAATTTTATTTGAAGTTTTAAAAAACTAGTGTGAGCCAGAGATCTTTGATAGAGCATTGTCAGAGAATTTCAGAAACTGCAAGTTGTTACACAGATGTATTGATTTAATTAGTCTGGATAACACCATTTATTTATGCTTAAGCATCTCACACATGCAAAAGTTGGTAATTCGGAGTCGCACAGTATTTGTGAGTTATCTTTTATACCAAAGTTGTAGCTTCTGAATACCAACTTTGGTGAGTGCGTGTATCAGATGCTTAAGCATAAATAAATGATATTATATAGACCAATGAAGCAACATAGTTTGCTTATGGAATTCTTTTTGTCATAGGGTTTTTTGTTGGTTTGTTGGTGGTTGGTTTGGTACCAGGGATTAAACCCAGGGACACTTACCACTCAGCCACATCCCCAGTCCTGTATATTTTATGTGTGTGTGTTGTGTGTGTGTGTGTGTGTGTACTTTTTTAGTTGTAGGTGGACATGGTAGCTTTGTTTTATTTGTTTTTATGTGGTGTTGAGAATCAAACCCAGTGTCTCACACATGCTAGGCTAGTGCTCTACCACTGAGCCATAACCCCAGCCCGCCTTTTTTATATTTTTATTTAGAGAAAGTGTTTTGCTGAGTTGCTTAGGGCCTCATCTAGTTGCTGAGGCTGGCTTTGAACTCATAATCCTCATACCTCAGCCTCTGGAGCCACTGGAATTTTAAGTGTGTGCCACTGCACCCAGCTGCCATAGGTTTTTATGTAAAATCTTCTGGCAGTGGCTTTTAAGTAACATTAATTGTTCTAAACACTATTTAATATTAGAAGATAGGAAAGGGCCTCATTAGAAACAGAAACATCTGGGTTGTGCTGGTTAAGGACTCTTTGGGAATCTGAGCAGATCCCTAATATACCATTGCAATTGAGTAAGATTGTTTTGGTTAATCATGCAGTGGGTGTTCTGACCAGAGTGGAGAAGGGTAGAGTTATCCTCCTAGAAGAAAAGATTAACTTATTTTGTGATGAGTAATAAACTGTATTATTAATTTTCTTGGGGAAGAGAAATCAGAATCATTTGCTGTTCTCACTCTCTCTCTCCCCCTTCCCACTCCTTGCCCCCTACCTTTCTCTTCCATTCTAGTTTTAACTGTAAGAACAGCAGTGTATTGAGATTTTGAAATGCTATCTTCACACTTTTAAAAAATTGCTATCAGGTATGCTTGCACGTGTCTGTAATCCCAGCGTCATGGGAGGCTGAGGCAGGAGGATTGCAAGATCAAAGCCAGCCTCAGCAAAAGTGAGGCGCTAAGCAACTCAGTGAGATCCTGTCTCTAAATAAAATACAAAATAGAGCTGGGGATGTGGCTGCGTGGTTTAGTGCCCCTGAGTTCAATCCCAGTCACCAAAAAATAAAAATAAAATTGCTATTAGTTAAATATATTTTTATTTTTAGCTAATTTAAACGGTTGTTTACAGTGGCAAGTTATCAAAAAAGGTGGCTAGGATGTAACTAATACAGTGGGAATTTAGGTTAGTATGTTGATTCTTCTAGAGTTTGAGATGTTTCACCTGTATTGTTTTTTCTCAAAATACTCCCTAGAAGATGGAAAGGGGAGGATTAATTAGCTCACTTTTACACATAAGAAAACAGAAGCTCATAGGGGCTAAGCATCTTGCCTAAGGTGAGACTTACTGAGAAGGTAGTCCCGGGCTGACAGAATTCCAGAGCTTGGCAGAATGCAGCACATTACTCATTGGGAAGTGTGATAGGCAGGTAATAATTCCTCAGAAGTCTTGACCACGACTGGTCAGTTCTTTTTCCTCTGAGACCGTTCACCATCTTATCCTCAAAGCAAAAAGTTGTTTGTAGGTTAAGGCTCCTCTGTAATCTTCAAGAGATTTTTAGGAACTCATCCTAGATAATACCGCTGGTTTGGGAGAAAGATTCTAAGTAAACAATAATACTTTCATGTGTTCTTCTAATATGAGTTTCTTCAGGCTACCAAGTGCCCATGTTAATCAGTGTTGACCGAATACGAATTGTCACTTTTAGAATCATTAGCTATAATTACTTCATGATCCACAATAGAGTATATGCACAGTTGATAGAATACATACATTAAGTATAGGGATGGTCACAAACTAAAAATATTTTTTAAAAAAAGTCTGGTGATTTGATTTAAATATTTGAGATGTACTCCCTACCTCAAGAATTGTAGGGCACAGTGTATCACTTCAGTTTTTGGTCCCAGATGCCCAGACTGAGCTTAGATTTTATTTTGAGAAGCAATTTCATGTTGCCAGGCGGGCCTTGAACTCCTGGGCTCATGAGCTTGTTTGTTTTGGATGATGTGATTGGAGCTACTTTCTTTAGTCTGTGGCCTGACACTTAGAATTGTGTTTGTTGGTTTCAGCAGTTAGGAGTGACACAAGGCCACCCATGCTTTGCTTTTGAAGTGCTTTTGTGTCAGGTTCTTATCCATAGGCTTTAAGAACAAAGCAGCCTTTTCATATTTCTCCAAATGTTCAGAGAAACCAAGTTGACCTCCCCTTCACCTCTGACCACACTTTAATCTTCTAGATTTCTCTGCATTTTTACTTTCATTGTGATTTACTTAGTTGCTGCTAAATTTCTTATTCATCAAGAGTCACAGTATTCCCATTTGCCATGGGAAGGGATGTTGCTGTTCTGTTTTAATCATCACCTTGCCATTTCTTTCCTTTGCAGACCCCATATCATGTGAACCTCCTCCTGGCTGGCTATGATGAACATGAGGGGCCAGCACTCTACTACATGGACTACCTTGCTGCCTTGGCAAAGGCCCCCTTTGCAGCCCATGGTTATGGTGCCTTCCTGACTCTCAGTATCCTGGACCGATACTATACACCAAGTAGGTACCAGCACTGCAGGGAAGGAGCAGTAGCAGAGCCCTTCACTCACCACTTCCCAGTTTGCTCACCTTGGAGTTGGGTGGCCGGGTCCTGAATAAAAGATTGATCCCCTCTTGAAGCTGTGGGTCAGTAGGATCTTCACAAACTTATTAATAAAAGACTTTTGTCAGCCAAAATGAGATATTGCATATCTCTAGAACTGGGTTTTGGTTTGTTTTAAAGGGGGTTTGGAGTATATGTCGTGGTGAGTAAAACATTTTTATTAGGTTCTATAATTCTTAAGTTACAAGAATTAAGTTATTTCACTCATTTTGCTCTTCGTAGATGCCCATTGACATTTCAGCTATAGAGAAAGAGCGAGTAAATCAAGTAGTTTGTGCATCATTTTGAACTTGTGAAAATGAACAGGTTCCCAACATGACAACTGAGGGTTTCTTTGTTTAAACATCAAAGCTTTTTAAAGTTGAAGATGGGCCCTTCATTTGGTTCTTAGCCCCTGATTACAGCTGTCTTCTGCAAGAAAAAGCTGTTTGTTTACTTGTCAGTACACTGTCAGCTTTCCAGAACTTCAGACCCAGGGATGCTTTTCTGCTAAGTTCTATCTTCTGTCCTCAATCTCAACCTCAACTTCAGCCACTGTGGGCAATTGACACTTGGAATTCTTAGTTTTTACAGACTATAGATATAGCACAGATAATCTCTTCTCTCCTTACATTCCATTCTTCCCTCTCTGTGTCATAAAAATCTGGCATGTTCATTCCTTTTTGTGCTACCCTCTTGCTCAACCTCAGCCCTACTGGAGCTCCAGGCCACATCTTGAAAAGAATTAGCCTGGCCTCCTAGTGACTGTCTCTTGATTTGGCATATGTCAGTAATACAGCTGATTTGCCCACCAAAATAACCAACAACCACCCCTGAATTCTAACTGTGTAATATGTCAACCCAGTTTGCCATGCCCATAGACAGTTCCTTTGCATCCTGTTTTAGGAGCATCCCAGTCCCATCCTACGAATTCTCATCCCATTGTTAAACTGAGACCCCACTGAGAAAGTGGGGCTAAAACTCTGGCCCTGTCCTCTCTTTCCCTGATTTGCAGCTGGCTGGGGCAGATGGAATTGATTTAAGCCCTGGACTAAAGGAGGGTGGAGGGGGTGAGTTATGATAAAGAGAGGCAGGCTGCTGGACTTCTTCAGAGGCGGGTCCTGGCCAGGGGAGGCAGAATTCCGTCATGCTTACTCTTCTCTGTAGCAAATCAATTTGCAATGGCTTGCGGCTGCTGAAGCACTAGGTCTGGGGCACCCTCGATTGCATATGGAATGAGTTTGTTTCAGGCTAGAAGGCTAAGCATTTTTTGCCTTTTCTGTTTGTGTGGCATTTACACATAAAGAAGTATGAAACTTCATCAAAAGCCTCTGAGAGTTGGACATAATGACAGTACCTTGAGTATTTGGCCTGTCTGTTCTCTTTCAGCTATCTCACGTGAGAGGGCAGTGGAGCTTCTTAGAAAATGTCTGGAGGAGGTGAGTAGCCCCCATGGGATCCTGAAAGGAATGTTTTGTGTCTCTCCTTGCCAATATTGTACCCATTCCTTGGTTGCTTTTGTTCTGGGCCTTGCCAGAAGGTGTAATAAATACCCACTGACCAGATGTGAAGTTGCTGCCAGTTTGGTGTAAGTAACAGGCTTATTTTTTTTTCATGGGTCACCTCCTCATCAATGTCAATTTTACAATGTAATTACTTTATTTCTGGTTCATACAGACCATTCATTGGTTCTCTTTATGGTATAAGAATCATCTGGGGAACTTGTTTAAAAAGCAAGTTACTGCCAGGCTTGGTGGCACACACCTGTAATCCCAGAGGCTCAGGAGGATCGCAAGTTAGGAGGCAGCCTCAGCAAAAATCAAGGTGCTAAACAACTCAGTGAGGCCCTATCTCTAAATAAAATACAAAATGGGGCTAGGGATGTGACTTAATGGTTGAGTGCCTCTGAGTTCAATCCCTAGTACAAAAAAAAAAAAAAAAGGCAGGTTACTGCTGGGCATAGAGTATATACCTTGTGATCCTCCTGCTTCAGCTTCTGCAACCTGGCGAGACTGAGGCAGAAAGAGCACAAGTTCTAGGCCAGATGTGGTAATTTAGCAAGACCATAAAATGGGCTGGACATGTAGTTCAGAGCATCCCTGGGTTCAATCCCCTGTACCACAAGAAGAAAGGAATGAAGTAGGTAGGTAGGTAGGTTACTATTCATGCCCCAGCCCCTGATTCTGATTCTACTGTCCAGAGACTGAGAATCTACTTTTTAATGGGCAGTCCCAGGTAATTTTGCTATAGGTGATATTTGGTGCCATTCTCTCCATACCTACGATAAAAATCATTGCCCTAGACTTAATACTTGCTCTGTTCTTGTGCCACCTGATATTGCCCTACTGTCTATTCCCTTAACTGTGCATGAGCCCTTGTAATATGGAGAAAAACCCTTCCCTGGGCATTGAGGAGGCAGAAGAAAGAGTAGCATTTGGTTGGTGAGATAAGTACCTGTACCCTCCTCATTCTAGTACTACTCCTGAGAGTCTCAGGCTTTAGGAGTGAATGTAGGATGAGATGGCAAAAGCAGCTCCATTAGGTTTCTTCGTTCTTTTACTCTTCTTGTGGCCTAAGGGTGAATTTAGTGAGAGAGTGGCAGGATGGGAGCAGGTATGGAGGCTTAGCAGTAATGTCAGTTTGCCTGTTACACCATCCTGTCCACAGTGCCCTCTCCCTTCTTCCTCTTGGTTGTAAATCCCCTTTCCAAAGCAGACACTGAAAATTTAAACTCACGTCCTTCCCCCCCCCCCCATGTACTTTTATTAACYGTCCAGCTAAGAGACCATATTAGTCCCAAATGTTGCAGGGGGCTACTGGGAAGAAGCTACTGGAATATCAAATGCTCTTGAAATTTTATTCCCTGTGTATTCTAAAAAGAATCCATTTAGAAACCCTTAGTTCCTTATTTATTATCACCTTTTCCTGATCTTGGAGCTTTAGAGGACTCTGGAAATGGAACGAGCTGTTGCTGCYTAGTCCTCAGCTGCAAAGGAAATGGAAACATGAAGGAAAGGAGAGTTAAACCTGAGGAGGTGAACATTTTCAGGATAGGCTTCTAAGGGAGCAGCTGAAAAGCCTGGAGGCTCCAAGTGAGGTGTCCAGAAAGAAAAGATTTCAAAGCTGTATTTCCCAGTAATCTCCCAGCTGGATTTGTGTGCTGATTATCTCCTTCCATGCACATACTCCACAGCCCCTTTGGAACAGCCTCAGCCTGAACTGGAGGAGACAGAAGTGGGACTTGTTCCAAGAACTGTTCTGTTGATATCCTTCTCACCACTCTGGCAATTGCACACTGAAGTTTACTCACACTTGCCTAGTCCTTCTGATGTGGGTAGATGACTGGAGCAAACTGTTGAGTCCTAGGACAGCAGGGATAAGAACATTGGATTGTCTCTTTCTTTCAGCTGACTAACCAGAGATAGATCTCCAGCTGCATCTCCCAGATCACACTTCAGTCAGCCTCCAGCTGATGTATGGGCATTCTTGTGTGCCCTAGTGCCTGCTGCCCCAGTAGAATATCTGGAGGGATATCCCTACAAAAGCAGGAATTTTTATCTGCTTATGTTCACCATGCCTAAAACAGAGCCTTCCAGGAACATAGTGTTTATAAATGTTTGTTAATTGGTTTCCTTTACATCTCTCTACAGCTCCAGAAACGCTTCATCTTGAATCTGCCAACCTTCAGTGTTCGAATCATTGACAAAAATGGCATCCATGACCTAGATAACATTTCCTTCCCTAAACGTGAACCCTAACATCGTACCCTCCTTCCCACTTGCCAGGAAACTGTTTTTGACAGGAATCTTTAATTTTTTTCTACTCTTTGGATGTGTACTCGTGAAAGATGGTTAATTCTGAATAAAATTAAATATGGGTAAATTAACTTTCCTGACTTGGCTTTTTAGTGTAGCTAACATCACTTCAGAAAAGAACTAGACAGAGGATTGTGTTTTTACCAGGACTGTCCTTTCTCATACCCCTTTCCCTATGTTAATGCTTAACTGCCTTTAGCAGCTGACAGCCCTACATTCTGCTTCACTGCCCAGCTTCTTTTCTAACTAGCTCTTTCATTTATATTTGCTTGCTAATATCATTTATATTTGCTTGCTAATATCCCATTCCCTGTAGAGCAGTGGTTCTTTTTGCCAGTAAGCTTACACTATTTAAATTAATTTAGAGGGGTATTACATACATTCAGCAAATTGTGCAAATAATACAAAAACACATAGTAAGAAATGTCTCCTCTCGTTCCTTACAATCTGATCCCCTGCTTATCTTCCCAGAGAAAACTTCAGTTACAATTGTTTGTTTTTTTAAGAGCAATTCTAAGTACCAAAAAAAAAAAGAGCTTCTATTCCTGTGTAAAGTATGCATACACACATACATATAGACCACATCCCCTTTAAAAAGTCTTTTAAATGTTCTATGTATTGCTTATTACATTTAACACTATATTAGAGAGTTATATAATATCCCTTTAAATTGGTATACTGTGGCAGTTAACCAGATAGGTACTTTACCTCAGTCTAGCTTTTTGGGAATAACATGAATATTCTGATCAGGGCCACTAAAACAGTGGTTTCTCTCTGTGTGTGGTGCTGGGGATCAAATCTAAGACCTTGTACTTGCTAAGCAACACTCTACCACTGAGTTATACCCCTATCCCCTAATCAGTGGTTCCTTCCTAACCAGATGCTTGTATCAGAATCACTTAGGGCGTTTCCTTTCTTAGTGTACAGATTAGACTGCACCTCTAGATTCTAAGTAACTCTGGGGCTTAGACATAAGAATTTTTAAAAAATTTTCCAATTTATTCTTATCTTCTATTGTGATAGAAAACCACTGGGTTGAATTCTTTGGAGCTGTGGCTCTCAGACTTTTAGTGTGCATCCTAACCCACTTTAGGGCTTAGTGAAATAGATCACTGGGTCCTACCACCACAGTTTATTCCTGTTTGGGTAGAACCTGAGATGTTTTTTGGAGGGGGTACCAGGAATTAACTCAGGGGCACTTGCCCACTGAGCCACATCCCCAGCCCTATTTTGTATTTTATTTAGAGACAGGGTCTCACTGAGTTGCTTAGTACCTTGCCATTGCTAAGGCTGGCTTTGAACTCGAGATCCTCCTATCTCAGCCTCCTGAGCCACTAGGATTACAGGTGTACACCACCGCGCCTGGCAAGATTTTGAATTTCTAACATTTCTAGTCACTGATGGTGCCTATCCACCATTGAGCACCATTTAGTCTAAGTCTTACTTTATCACAGGTATCCATAGTAAATCATAGCATTCATATGAACAGTATTGAATTAACATCAGGTTTGGCTATCTTAATATGCTTTTTAATATACCAGTAGTAGTGCCTTATACCATAAGAAAACTAATCATCCAGTCAAGCAGGAGGAAAGATGATTCACATCACCACAACTGRTTTCGCCTCAAACATCACTGTGAGTGGACATCCAGAGCTCACCAGGAATGACACTTTCTCTTCCTTTGAATGTTAATGTCCTCGGGGCAATCTCAGGCAAGCCAGCAAACCCACCTAATTTTGATCTCTGTGATCATTGTGATCTCTGTTCCTGTTCTCCCTCCTGAGCTCCAAATCAACTTATTCTTAACCTTCTAACCGTATCAAACTCAACATATCTAAAGCTGAGCCTTACTATCTGCCCCCATCCAAATGTCCCTCTCTACAATTTTGGCCCATCTTAGAGAATTAGTTACCTATCTTTTAGGTGCCCAAACCAGAAGTGTAGGCATCATTTATGTTTAATAAATGTTTATTTGGGAATGACTTTGGTTTTACAGAAAAGTTGTAAAGATAATAGTTTCCTTATACCCCCTCCCATCCGGTTTCTGTTTAATGTTAGTATTTACATAACCATGGTATATTGTTAAAACTGAGAAACCAACATCAGTACAAAACACCCGCCTTTGTTCATATTTCAAGTTTGCGGGGCTGGGGATGTGGCTCAAGCGGTAGCGCGCTCGCCTGGCATGCGTGCGGCCCGGGTTCGATCCTCAGCACCACATACCAACAAAGATGTTGTGTCCCCCGAGAACTAAAAAATAAATATTAAAAAAAATCTCTCTCTCTCTCTCTCTCTCCCCCCCCCTCTCTCTCCCTCTCCTCTCTCACTCTCTCTTTAAAAAAAAAAAAAAAAAAAAAAAGTTTGCATCCCTACTATTCTGGTTCATCCCCCCATCAATTCTAACAACATACTTTTGCTCTACATTTAATCATTTAATCTCTTCTTCCTCCAGTTTCTCAGTTCAATAAAATAGTTGACCATCCATTCCTTCAGTTCTCTTAAAACTTTCTTTTGTTTTTCCACTGCTTATAGAATAAAGCCCAGTTGTTTGGTTTGACAACAGGCATCTCATACTCCTAACTAGCTCCTCGATTTCCTTTCCCTTCCACATCCCATAAAGCCCGAGGCCCAGCTCAGTTTCCATGGCCTCAGCATTGACTTAGGATTTGACAACCATATACAAATACCTGCTGTAAGAAGGGTAAGCACTACCTTGTGAAACTTTTCTTACAGTTGTAGGTGTGTATGTGTTTTGAATCAAGATGCTCTACACTCATTCTGTTTTTTTCTAGATTTTATTTCTAAAAATGCCAGCTGTGTCCTAAATTGATTTCTTGAAGTTTGAAAAACCCTAGGAATGAATGACTCTAACACTCCTGGCCAAACATTGCCCAGAATGGTCTTCCAATTGGTTTCCATCTGCTTGCAGGTGATTAATACACAGAAAACAATTTATACCTTCCCAGGCTTAGGGTGGGAGGGGTCAGGTTGGAGAAGGGAGCAGCTGTTTTGCCTGAGGCCAGGAAAGCTCAACCTTGACTGGTGAAGGGCTGGGAAGACTGAAGGAACCTGAGAGGAGGAGGAGGACGCACTGAAATGGCTTGAGAAGATCATGGTGTTCCCAGCTGAGCAATGGAGGCTAAACCTTCTCTGTGTAGAACCCAGAGTCCTGGGCTGGGGCTGGGGCTCAGTGGTAATGCACTTGCCTGGCATGTGTGAGGCACTGGGTTTGATTCTCAGCACCGCATATAAATAAATAAAAATAAAGATCTATCAAAAACTAAAAAAACAAAAAAAACCCCAGAGTCCTGTCACTATTGCTATCCTTACCTTAGTCCTTTGACAAGGAAACTGCAGCAGTGCTCAAGGGAGAGAAGGGACAGGAGGGACATTCTCCAGATTCTAGAAATCTGTCAGGAGCCAATGTGTGAGAAAGCCTGTACCTCATCCTCACTCACTCCCTCATAAGGCCTGAGGGAAGGAAGGCTTTCAAACACTGCCCTTATTTCTCCTAAAATACTCTGATCTTTTCAAAGAAAACATAAAGGCATTTTCTTTAAGTGAGTATAAACTCAAATGCACAATTTGAAAATCATGTTGCTTACCCAGTCTAAATACACTCCATTTAATTCACAGCTTCTTACTTTGCAAAAAAGAAGCTATGTAAACCAGGGTGAATACCGTTTCTTTAATCACCATCTCCTTTTCCTCAGGGCTATACTCAGCTAGTCAGAGGCTAACACACACTTTTGCTATGGGGGGAAAATGGAAAGAATCAAATGCTGAGACCTCATTAGGCGCTGCTTATGCTACTTACACAGTCTCCACACTTGCTTCCTCTGCACTGTTAATGATCCTGACCATATGCTGGTATAGCAGAGCCTTGGGGCATGAGGGGCTAGGAAGACCTGCTTTCCCTTGTAGGGCTCAGGCCTGTGAGTCTCTGCATAGGGTCCATGTGTTGCAGTGGAAATGAAGAGAGGGTTTTATCAAACTGATCTATGTGAGACCCACTCTGTGACGTGAGAGACCCTAGGCAAGTTACGCAGCTACAATTATTTTAATTATAAAATAGGTCTTGCTGGGTTCAGTGGTGCACGCCTATAATCAGCTGTTCAGGAGGCTGAGGCAGGAGGATTGCAAATTTGAGGCCAGCCTCAATAACTTAGAAGAACTTGTATCAAAATTAAAAAATGGGCTGGGGATGTGGCTCAGTGGTTAAGTGCCCCTGGGTTCAATACCTGGTACAAAAAAATATAGAGATAAAAATTGGTCTTGGTGAGGACTACCTGGATCTTCATGAGAACTACCTTGTTCTTTCCTTAGGGAAAGTTGTCTAGTACTGAACAGTTCTTAAATTCTAGCATCTTCCTTGTTTACCAAGYTTTTATTGATTTGTTTATGCTAGGTATTTTATAAGTGTTAAATTCCTTTTGTGTCATTTTAACCCCCAAGTTCCTGTAATCTGAGATAATTTTAGTAGAAGAATGTCTCTTGCCAGGTCCTGGGCCTTGATTACAGCACAGCATACTTCCACCTTCCCCCGTTTATCCTTTTCTATGGGTGGGTTAAGGCTTTGAAACTTCTTGGGAAAAGAAGTCACATCTTTGGACCCTTATCCTGAAAGATAATGTCTAAACCTCATGTGCCTTGCATACCTTCATCTCTGCAAAGCATCCTCAACTTCTGGGCCTGACAGCATACTTGTAAAGACATGGAGGAAGAGTCATTCAGGCAGAGGCAACAGTGACTGCAGTGGCCCTCAGAGAAAGTCTGAGGACTAGAAATCCATGTAGGGCTGGGGCTATAGCTCAGTTGGTAGAGTGCTTTTCTGACATGCAAAAGGCCCTGAGTTCAATTCCCAACACTGGAAAAAAAAAAAAGAAAAAAAAATCCGTATGGCTAGAGTAAAGTGGGTATTGAAGAGAATAGCTTAAGGTAAGGTTGGCAAAGTTCAGGTCATTTCAGGGCCTTAGCAGGAAGGTATACCAGTGAAATCAAACCAGTAGGGAGGCTCTTGTAGACAGATATTGAGGGTGGTAGCAGTGGAGATGGAAAAATGGGTTCTGAATCAGTAAGACTTAGTGGGAAACTGAATGTAGAGGAAGAATCAAATATGACTCCCCAGTTCCTGGCCTGAGCAGCAGGGTAGAAGGTGAGACCATTTGCAAAGATGGGACAGTTTGGAGGAGGTCATGATTTTTGTAGAGTCAAGTCCTCCATATTGGTCCCTGGAGTTCAGGGACCAGTTGGGGCCAAAGATGCAAATTCAGGGATTAGCATCCTACAAATGATGTGTAAAATCATGGGATTGAATGAGATTCTAGTAGAGAAGAAGTTAGCTGTTAGGCATGATGGTGCATCCTGTAATCCCAGTGGCTTGGGAGACTGAGGCAGGAGAATCATGAGTTCAAAGCCAACCTCAGCAATTTAGCAAAGCCCTAAGCAATTCAGTGAGACCCTATCTCCAATAAAATACAAAAAGGGGCTGGGGATGTGGCTCAAGCAGTAACGTGCTCGCCTGGAATGCGTGGGGTGCTAGGTTCGATCCTCAGCACCACATAAAAAATAAAGATGTTGTGTCCATCGAAAACTAAAAAATAAAAAGAAAAAAAAGCAGCTGCCAGCAAAGTAGACAGAATTGGAACCAGTGATGTCAGGGGAAATCAGGAGAAGTTGGGAACCATGGAGTGTTTTAGAAAAGAACAAGTGGTAAGCCGTGGCAAATGCCACTGTTAAATCCGGAAAAAAATCCTTTGGATTTGACATTGTGATCATCGATGACCATGCTAAGTGGATTTCAACGGACTATTAGGAAYTGAAGTGGTTTGAGGAGAATTGGCAATAAAGAAAATGGAGGTAGGGGTGTAGCAACCTTTTAGAAACTCACTTGGCTGGGGGTGTTGCTCAGTGGTATAGTACCTGCCTAATATTGGTGAGTCCTCAGGCTCAATCCTCAGCATTGTAAATAGCAAAACAAATTTCAAATACAAAGGAAATAATAAATAGATGGGGAAAGGATTTATGTTTTATAAGAGATCCTACAAGGGGCTAGGGATATAGCTCAGTTGGTAGAGAGCTTGCTTCGCATGCACCAGGTCCTGGGTTCAATCCCCAGCACCACACACACACACACAAAAAAAAAAAAAAAAAAAAAGGAAGAAGAAGAAGATATGTGTGCTTGAGGAACGATCTATAGACAATTCAATAGGGAGGGAGAGATTGAAAATGCAGGAAAAAAAAAAAAAAAAAAAAAAGATGCCCAAAGAGTGAAATCCTCAAGAAAAGAGTTGAATTAGTATTGGCCTGATAATCTCTCTCTCTCTCTCTCTCTCTCACATACACACACACATACACACACACACACAGTCACCAGTATTCACACGGACACAGAAACCTACCACCAACAGTCATGGCAACACAGTACAGACAGCTAATAGCCAAGATGACCCATTCACCTACAGGCCAGCAAGTCACAATAATACACAAACAGTATTCACTTGACACACACAGATAGCCAGATAGATCCACATCTGGACTCCCTCTCAGAGGTATCCACACCACTCCTAATGTGTTCCCCATTAAGGACCCTTTCTTGCCCCAAGTCCTTCCTAAATCCCAGGTTCTGCCTCTACTCAGTGATCTCAAAGGAGGGAAAGGCCCCAGGACTGAAGAAGGACAGGAAGGGCTTCATAGCCAAGGTCCGGTTTTATTAAGAGACTGAGGAAGCAATCAACTGTAGGGTGGAGAGAAACAGCAAACACAAAACCCTGTGATGACATCAGGGTGCCTGACATACCTTTCTTCCCTCCCAGCCCATGCACAGCTCTCTGTGAACAAAACACCGTCTCTGTCCTGGTCCTGGTGGTCCTCTCAGAGAATGAGCAGAAAACAGTGAAATAAATCCCCAACTCACTGGGATAAGTAAGTTGTGCTCGACATTTTTAAACTTTCAAATTTAATTACATCATACATAAATAAATAGGACAAAAAGCAACAGGGCTGTGACGCGCAGCCTGGATTCAAGTTCTGCAAGTTGTGCTTTGTCTTTGTTCCACAAGGGCTTCTCCTGCCCTTTGCTTCAAGAATGGAAAGGGTTCACAAAGCCCACTGGGACCTCCTTCCAGCACCTCTTTTCTGGGGTAGGAGATTCTGGGATGAGGCTTACTAGCTCTTCAGTAGCACCTCTGATTTGTTAACAATGTCCTCCAGCTATTAGTAAAAAGCAGAAAACCTGGGCCCCTAGGAGCCCACTGCCGCCCAGACTCCCTAAAGGGTAGGGCTCTGCTCCTCAAGCCAGACTTTTTCATACCAGTTTCCTGTCCAAGCCCTTTTTAGCAAAGGTCAGACAATTGCACACGTGAGACAGATACCTGGGCTCTTACCAACAGACCACCTCCCTTGCTCCTATCCAGAGCCCTAACTGGGGTTTCTGGATGAATGTTCTTTTTCTGGCCTGACTCTAATCCCACCTTTTAGTCCTTTCAGGGCCACCTTAGGAGCTAAGTCTCAACTTAGGGCTTGGGAGCCCCTTAGGATGAATGAGAGATTCGGTTATTTCCGATGTTTGGCATCCTTCTCTGAAGCCTTGGTTTCACCATGCCCACTGCCTGCACTGGTTAGAAACATCTTGTCCAGTCCCTTGAGTGACTCCAGCAGGTAGTTCTGGAAGGCGGTGAGGGCAGCACAGATGGCAGGCCCTCCAAAGCCGTGGGTGATGAGGCTAAAGTGTGTCAGGCAACTCTGCACTCCAGGCTCGAGGATGAGTGCTGGGCGGCTGTTGCCCAATGGGGAGCGATCCTGAGCCATCAAGTCGGCAAACTCCTTGCAGATCTGCCTGGTGGGGGAAGGAAGGTCAGAAGTTAAAGGACAAGGCTCTGGGCCCAGAGAAGAATCTGTATTCTGGGTTCTTAGATTACACAATTGCTTGCCTCTCCCAACAGTCTACAAATGATGATTATACTCATTTCACAGAAAAGAAAACCAAGGTTCAGAGAAGTTAACCAAGTAGCCCAATATCATACAACCAGTAAACAGCACATGCTCCACGTACTGGGCTGTGCTCTCCCTGTGGATGTCCTGACCACATTCAGAGCTCAGCTCAACTTCTTTCTGCCTTATTCAGAAAACTTGCCTTGATCCTCTCAACTACCCCAAAAACCCAGTGCTTCACGGAACCTTGTCTTTTGAAATTATTAGGGAACCACAAAATTTGCCTTACACAATTGAAATATTATCTAGCAGCAGAGATTGAGGTCAGATGCTATGCCAAGTACACTATATACATCATCTAATGATTTTTAAAACAAATCTATGGGGCTGGGGATGTGGCTCAAGCGGTAGTGCGCTCGCCTCGCATGCGTGCGGCCCGGGTTCGATCCTCAGCAGCACCACATACCAACAAAGATGTTGTGTCCGCCGAGAACTAAAAAATAAAAAAATATTAAAAATTCTCTCTCTCTCTCTCCTCTCTCACTCTCTCTTTAAAAAAAAAAAATCTATGCCTGTCATATGGATGAGGAAACTGATTTCAGACAGGTTAGATGACCTGTCATGGGGACTGAGCTGGGATATGAGTCCAACTCCAGTCTGCAGACATTGTCCAATTCTCTATGCACCCCTCTGGCTCAGGCAAGAGGATCAGTCATCACTCTTCTTTGTCACCATGGAACCCAGCCAGCATCTTAGACATTACTGGGACTCAGGAAGTACTTGGTATGTGAACTGATTCATGAATGAGGTGGAATCCACCATAGATGGGCTTTTTTTCCAGTACAATATAAGCAGCCTCCAAGGTCTCTCCATTTGGCAATCCCATGAGTCTGGTTTCTCTTCTAACTAGGTCTGAAAGTAATGAACATGGTGCCCAAATATACCTACCTGTGGTGCCAGGTATTCCTGTGCAGCATGCAGGAGTGTGCCCATGTGACCCTAAGCAGGGAGTCCAGATGTGCCTGTGTGTGGTGCAGTGTGCCACGTACGTGTACATGTGCTCACAGTTGGGCCCACTGTGCCCAGATCTGAGGTCTGTGTCTGTGCATTGCACTCCTGACAGCCTGTGTACAGTGCCCTCACTCACTTGGCGGCCAGCAGCATGCTCTTGCGGCTGTGCAGTTCCCCGGGGTCAGCGTGCTGTCGGCACAGGTACTCAGCGGCTGCTTTGGCTGGGAACTCAGTCTCACAGACGTAGCCAAAGTCTCGAGCCAGGTGCACAGCCTCTCCTGTGGGGATCAGAGCTGTCACTACTACCAGGTGTGCCTCTGAGCCTGGAACCCAGCCTTGAACCTCTGACCCCCTGGCCAGGGGGCAACCTGCCCCATCCCGCTTCTGAAGATACCAACTTCTGAAGATACCTGCCTCTGATTTCCTRCGTCTGCCCAAATTTAGCCTCAATTCCATTACCCTCTCTTGGGACTACCAGGGTTGGGCCTGGAACTTCCAGAGGCAGAGCCCAGAGTCATTGACCTCCAGGGAAGAGGGCTGTCCCCCTCCCATCTACGTACCACATCCAAACACTGGCCGTGCCTTTCCCTACACACACACCCCACAAGTAGCTCTCCACTGCATGTGCACACATATGCATAGATGTGCAAGGTGATATAGTATCCTCAAGGGACTGGTTCTAGGATTCCCTGAAAATGCCCAAATCCATGGGTGCTCAAGTCCCTTACATACAACGGCACACAGTATCTGCATCTAATCTATGCATATCCTCCTGTATACTTGAAATTATCTCTAGATTGCTTGTGATAGCTAATACAAAGTAAATAGTTGTACTGTATTGTTTAAGGAATAAATGACAAGCAAAAGGTCTGTTCATGTTCATTAGAGGTAGAATATTTTCCAAACATTGTCAAACCATGGTTGGTTAAATTCTCAGATGGAACCCACAGGTACAGAGGGCCAACTGTGCACACATATCACATACACACCATCTTACACATGACACAGAGATACTGCAGAGTTTACGTGAATACACACATGACTAAACACACCCTCCTGCATTAGAGACAAGTCATGCCAGGTGACACAGACCTCCTCACACTCATGCTCAAGCCCACCTTCAGTTCTCACTCACCCTCCACCAGTGAGGTCAGCAGTGTCACATTGGCAGCCTTCCGACGGCCAGCTGGCAGGTTGAGCCCAATCTTCTCTAGCCTTTCCCGTAGACATCGACCCCCATTCTTGGACTTGGCTCTTGATATGCAGAGAGAGAGAGAGAGACACACACAACTATGAAGACAAGAGAGAAGCCTGTGGGCTAAGTGATCCTTACAGGGCCTTGTTGCCTGCACCAACCCCTGTTGAGGCTTAGGTTTGGCTTTGGAAATTCTCTAGGGTCTCTTAGCAAGATCCTAAACTCTTTCTAACTTTACTGGTTTTGCAGTCAAGAATGGCTTAGGGGGGCCCAGAACCTGGCTCCAAGATTCCCTCACTTCTTCCCAGTCCTCAATAGCCCAGGGTAGGGAAGGGTAATACAGGGCAGCATCACAGGATCCTTTTCCCCACCTTAGCACATTTGTTGGGGATGCACAGATCCACAAGAGACACAGGGACACAGACAGGAAGACACAGGTACACACACACAGTCACTCAAGACTCAGACCCACAAAYACATAGATGAGGCACATTGAGGGCCAAGAATACAGAGACACCAAGAGATACACATGCAGAGACCCAAGACAGACCCATGATAACATCAAATCAGGATCCCAGAGACATATGTACAGATACTCAGTCCCTCCAGGAAGCTCAAATTATCCAGGAATATAGAGACACCTCTACAAATGTGGTGCCCACACAAAAGTACAGGCAAGCAAACATACATAAAACTACCTGCACATGCACATGCCATCACATACACACAGAATAGGACACACRCTAGGCCACACATTGCCACTTAGTAACAGGATGCTCACATTAATGGAAACATACTTCTAGCCACCTCCTAACTCACAAACACACACATCCTGAGACTCATCAAAACTTACAGCCCTGAAGCAGAAATACCCTTCCCAGGCACAAGGACATGCAGAGAAATACACAGCAATGAAGACAAACTGATAACTACCATGCTCCCATCCCCAGCACACATACACCAGTGAGGTCTATGTTACAGGGCCTTAGGTGCTGGGGTACCTTTTGGGGGAGGGGGGGTGTAGATGACAGTCTCTCTTCCCCAGACCCAGCCTCGTCCATTCTTTCCAACATAAAGGATAAGTCCTTTATGCTTTCTCTGTGGCTGGGCTTCTTTTTCTACCCACCACCACAATCCCAAAGGCCTGTGGGAACTGCTGGGGACCTGGGTCTGCCTCCGAGCACCTGTGTGATCTGGAGTCCCTGGGCCTTCCTCCTCCCAGGAGACTGAGTGGGGATGATGTTTTGGGTAGGAGTGAGGCTGGCCCCCTTTCGGATGCCCTCAGAAGGTCTGAAGAAACCAGGGATTGTGGGCTGTGCAGTGGTTGTGGGTTGGCCTTCCTACCTGCGGAGGACGCCCCCCAGGAGGGAGGCGTTGAGGCACTCAGGAGGTGAGAGTCGCCGCTGTACTTCCCCCACGGTCACCTTGTACTTGGATGTTGAGCTGAGCAATGAAAGCCGTCCAGGCACGGAGCAGAAGACCTCACTGGGGTTGGTGATGCTGCCAACCAGGCTGTCTTTGGCCAATGAGAGGGCCGAAAGGCTGCTGGCTTTGGAGGGGATGGGGACTGTGGAGTGGAAGCAAGGGAAGAGAGAGTGGGGGACACTGAGCAGCAGCCACAGGTCAGCCACCAGCCAGCTGGGGAGCAGGCACATTCCTGACTCACCAACCATGCACCTTGAGAGACCCCAGTATCCCTGCTTTACAAAGGGAGAAACTGAGGCACGCTGRGGTTAAAGTGATACACCAAGTCCACTCAGCTAACAGGTGTGTACCTGGACCTACAGCTGTCTGGCTTTTGAACCCATGTCCTCTAAAGTCCCCAGCATGGTTCCCTCTTTAAACTCAGCTTCAGCAGATTGCTAGTGTTTTGGTGGGTGCCATCAGAGAAGGAGCTGGATGTGAGGAAATGGAGTCTGAGCTGGAGGTAGGATTCCTGGGTCACCACAACAGGGTCATCCTGTCTGAGCAATCACAGAGAGTCTTCAATACATTCCCACCTCCTGAGATCAATGAGGGGGTTGGGAGCTTCAGACTGCCCCCATCCTGGGGACCAGGAGATTATAGACCTATTAAGCTTCCAGCCCTGTTCCCCTTCTTGTTAGGTCACTCTGGGATGCTGTAGGAAATGAATAAAAAAAAAAAACCCAAAAGTGCCCTTGCCTGGATACTTCTTAATTATTTATGAAGGGCAGGGAAAGGAAACAAAAGTTAATCCATTTTGCCCGATTGTACCAGATGTGGAACACCTACAAAAAGTTAAAAAATAGCCAAGGAGTGGTGTTGCACACCTGTAATCCCAGCAACTCAGGAGGATGAGGCAGGAGGATTGCAAGTTCAAAGCCAGCCTCAGCAAAAACCCAAAACAACTTGGTGAGACTCAAAAGAAAAAATAAAAAGGTCTGGGGATGTGGCTCTGTGGTAAAGCTCCTCTGAGTTACATCCCCACTACCAAAAAAAAAAAAAAAAAAATTAAATGTAATATGTAATACAATCACATGGCATAATATAGTTAGTTATGTAACAGTATGAATATAATTACATGTAATTTAATAATTATAATAATACTAATTAATATTAATATGGTATAAGATTATTAAGATTATTAAGATTATTAATAATATTAATAAGGTATAAGATCTAAATCATGACTCCCAACATATTTTAATGTACCTGTGTCAATTTTGTTGAAATATTAACAGAATTTAAAACTTAGAGATTAATGGATTAATTTTCTAAAACTCAGATACTCTTGGCTCTAAAAGAAAGTTCTTCCCAAAGTGTAACCTCCATCTTCCTGCTTAACTGCAGAGAGAAGGGAGAATACTGAGGCACTTGCTTCTTCAGAGGAACCCCTTAGGTTTCTGTTCTTTCAAGGAACTGAGAGCCTCAAAAGACAAGACTCTGTGTGTGTGTGTGTGTGTGTGTGGTGTGTGTGTGTGTAATAGGAATCAAGTGAGGAGTCTGAGGTTAACAATTACTGAGCACACACTATGCTGTATGTTCACACAGATAACCCCCCTGAGTCCTTAGAACAACCCACAAGGGAGCTACCCTTATTCCCATTCTACAGAGGAGGAGGCTAAAGCCCAGAAAGGTGAAGTCAGTGAGCCACAGATCACTTAGCTGGTAAAATGAGAACCAAAAGCCAACCCACCATGGTCTCAAAAGCAGTGCCCTGAGCCTTTCCACCATGGCTGGTGACCATGCTATATCTTGGGAATACAGAGCTAAACAAGGCTAACCCAGTTAGCTTAGAATTAGCTAATTCTGCCTAGCGTGGCAGAGCCCCTCACCCTCCACCCTCCCTGGATGATACCCCCATCTTCCACCCAGCTGCCCAGCCAACACCCTCCGCACTTCTCTGGCTCACGTGCCCATCTACACCATGTCCCACCGTGTTCGAATCCTAGCTTGCCTGGGACGCCGCCTCTTTTATGCACAGACAGACACTTGCTCACTTCCCACCTGAATTTCGTCACAGGCCTTGCTGGGGTGCCCCTGCTCTGTTGCAGAGGGATCTTTCTAAGTCACGCATCACTTCACAGCCTGAAGCCCATCAATGGCTGGACAGTTCCCTGAGGATCAATCCCCAACTCCACAGCTGTGCAGAATGACRTCACCTGCTGTCAATGAGGACCAACTATATACCATATGCTGTACATGAACAGCTCTGAGGAGAAGAGCTGATGTCCATATCCCATGTCAAAAGGAAGAAATGGAAAGTTCAAAGAGGTTAAAATGGCACAGCAAGGAAGGAGCAGAACTCACTCTGTCTCCTAACTCCAAAGCTCATGTCCTTGACCACGATGCTACAGTGGCCTCCTTCATCCTTCTTGGTGTTTTGGCTCCTGCCTACTGGTCTTGCCTGGTCCCCATTTGTCCTCCAGGCCCTAGATTCACATTGACCAGTAGAAATAGAATATGAGCCACATATGTAAACTCCCAGACCTGCTCATGTGTGCCTGAGAATGCTTATCCCTAGGTCCCTCTTCACCTGTGCCCCTCTGCCTTGAGGGGACTTGGGACGATAGAACTATTCTATAGCTGGATTGTTTTAGTGGTTTCATGACTACATATATATATGTCAAAACTCACAGAAATAGACATTTAGAAAGGGCCAACTGCACTGTATTTTAAAAAATAAACCTACAAATTGATCAATTAGCAATAAAAAGGACAAAGTGACTGTCCTTTCTCCCATCTCTCCTAGTCAGAGGGAGGGATCAGAGAAACAAAATTTTTTCTCTCTTCCATCCAATTGTTATTAAAACTGGAATCCCCTGAGGCCAGGCCAGTGACAGGGGAGAGAGACCAAGGCTTTGTGAAGCTGTTTGTGCATGTGCAAATATGGGTATGTGTCCCAGAAGTGACCATACACAAAATTATTTGCCCTTGTCATAGAGCAATGACGATGAGATTGTCCATGTGTACACACACTCAATACTCAACCACAGCTCTGTATACAGACACAGTCTCTGCCCTCCTTGAGGGTGACCACAAGCATATGGACACACATAAGTGCCTTATCCTGTCAATGATATATTTATGCAAACTAGGTGCAGACATGTGTGTGAAATGGCAAGGGACATATGTGTCTACGAATAACAGACCTTGCTGTTTCCCCTACCTGTCCCTTTTCCTTCAGAACCTCTTTCCTCAAAAACAGCAAGAGGGATGGAGTCCAAGATTAGGGAAGCTGGTGTGCTGGGGAGGGGGCTGTCATGTAGGGGGGAATTAAACTAGCCCAGACTGCAGAGCAGGGACATTGGTGGTCTCCCACACCCACAGGACAGTTCCCACCACAGTGACTCCTGAAGCTGAGATGGTCTGCCTGTAGTGTGCCCCTGGTCACACAGGCAGAAGCCATTCATGTACTCCCAAGGCTCAGAGCTGATGCAAGAGCTCTCAGTTATTCAACTCACATACCCAAATCACACTCTATCCACAGGTGGTAGATACAGTCTGGCTACTGAATCTGGGGGTGTGCAACAGACTCTCAGAAAGCTTGTTAAAATTGCAATTCCTTCTAGAACAAAACAGAGGAGAAAAATCTTCAAGACTTTGGGTTGGGCACATAGTTATAACACCAAAAGCATGACCCATAAAAGCAAATAACTATAAATTGGATTTTGTCCAAATTCAAAATTTGGGGGGCTGGGTGGTGGCTCAGTGGTAGAGCACTTCTTGCCTAGCACACGTGAGGCATTGGGTTCAATCCTCAGCACCACATAGAAATAAATAAAGATATAGTGTTCATCACAACTAAAAATATTTTTTAAAAAAATTCAAAATTTTTGTCCCTCAAAGGATGTTATTAAGAAAATAAACCACTGTAGCACAGTGGTGGAATGCTTGCTCTCATGTGTGATGCACTGGATTCGATCCTCAGCACTACATAAAAATAAATAAACAAAACAAAGATATTGTGTCCAAGTGTAACTAAAAAATATTTTTTTAAAAAAGGAAAATAAATAGATGAGGTATCAGGCTAGAAAAAAATGCCTGCAAATCATATAAATCTGATAAAGGATGTGTGTTCAGAACATATAAAAAAACCCTCTTATCTCAACAAGATAACAACCTAGTTAGAAAACAACAAAATATGTGAAGACATTTCATCAAATATGATAGATGAATGACTAATAAACACAAGAAAAAGTGCTCAACAAAATTAGTCATTAGAGAAATGCAAATTAGGCATGGTGGTGAAAGTCTGTAATCCCAACTACCTGGGAGGCTGAGACAGAAGATCACAAGTTTGAGGCCAGCCTTAGCAATTTAGTGAGACCCTGTCTCAAAATTAAAAAAAAAAATATATATATATATAAAAGACTGGGGACATAATGTGCTCAATGGTAGAGTGCCCTGGGTGGTACGGTACAGTCCTCAAGAGAGAGAAATTAGGACTATATTAAGATACCACTAGATGGTTATAACAAAAGACATACAATATCAAATGTATTTGAGGGTGTAGAGAAACTAGAACCCTCTTGTATTGCTCGTAGGAATATAAAAACTTAATAAAGTTACTTCATTTATTTTTATTTTTTATTTTTTGGTACCCAGGATTGAACCAGGGGCACTTAAACACTGAGCCACATTCCCCAGTCCTTTTTATATTTTATTTAGAGACAGGGTCGTGCTAAGTTGCTGAAGCTGACTTTGAACTTGTGATCCTCCTGCCTCAGCCTCCCCAGTCACTGGGATTACAGGTGAGCGCCACCTTACCCAGCCAGTAAAGCCACAAAGCCAGTAAAGCTGTTTTAGAAAACAGCTTGGGGGGCTGGGGATGTGGCTCAAGTTGTGGCGCTCTCGCCTAGAATGCGTGAGGCACTGGGTTTGATTCTCAGCACCACATAAAAATAAAATAAAGATATCATGCCCACCTAAAACTAAAAAATAAATTAAAAAAAGAAAATAGCTTGGGCCAGGTATGGTGGCACACACCTGTAATCCTAGTGACTTGGGAGGCTGAGGCAGGAGGAATGAAAGTTCAAAGCCTGCCTCAGCAACTCAATGAGGCCCTAAGCAACTTAGTGAGAACTTTAAAAGGGTTGGGACAGGGCTGGGAATATAGCTCAGTTGGTAGAGTGCTTGTCTCACATGCACAAGGCTCTGGATTCAGTCCCCAGAACCACACACACAAAAAAAGGGCTGGGACATAGCTCAGTGCTAAAGCGCCCCTGGGTTCAATCCCAGCATCAAAAAGAAAGAAAGAAAGAAATCAAAATAAAATAGAAAACAGCTTGGCAGTTCCTTTAAAATTAAACATATATTTACCATATAGTCCAAAGATTTCATATCCAGGAATTTTCCCAACAGCAATGCACACAAGTCTACCCAAAGTCAAGTATATGAATGTCTACAGCAATTCCCAATTGCCAAAAAGTGGAAACAACTCAAGTGCTCATCAAGTGACCAATGGTTAAATAAAATGTGTTGCTGGATGTGGTTGGTGGTGCACACCTAAAATCCCAGGGGCTTAGGAGCTGAGGCAAGAGGATTGCAAATTCAAGTCAGCCTGAGCAAATAAAATGTGTTGCTGGATGTGGTTGGTGGTGCACACCTAAAATCCCAGGGACTTAGGAGCTGAGGCAAGAGGACTGCAAATTCAAGTCAGCCTGAGCAACTTAGTGAGGTCTTAAGTAACTGAAATTACTTAATGAAACATTAAAAGGGCTGGGAATGTAACTCAGTGTTACAGCAGCACTCTGGGTTCAATTCCCCAGCCTCTGACCCCCCAAAAGTGTGTTACATATAGTAGAAAACTACTCAGCAATGAAAAGAAGAAAAGTTACTAATATATGTTTCAAGAATGAGCCTCAAAAACGTAATGCTAAGTAAAAGAAGCTAAAACTGAAAAAGTCTGCATATAATCTATTGTATTTATACAACATGTTCAGGATATGCAAATTTACAGACAGATCAGTGATTGCCTAAGGCTTGGCGGGAGAATGAAGATTAACTACAAATGGCAATAAAGAAATTTTGAGGGGTGACAAATGTCTCAAAATAAATTGTGCTAATGGTTATACAACTCTGTACATTTTACTAAAAGTAAATAATATTCATACAACAAATGAATTTTAGCTATGTAAATGTTTCCTCAATCAATCAGTTAAAGTGCAAGTTCTAGGACCATACTTTAGGGATTCTCATTCAGATGTGGGGAGGTGCCTAGAAACAGCCTTTTTTTTTTTTTAGTTGCAGATGGACGCAATACCTTTATTTTATTTTTATGTGGTGCCAGGGATTGAACCCAGTGCCTCACGCATGCTAGGCAAGTGCTCTATCACTGAGCCACAACCCCAGGCCCCCCGAAACAGTTTTTTTTTTTTTTTTTGAACCAGGGATTGCTTAACCACTGAGTCACATCTCAGGCCCTTTTTATTTTTTATTTTGAGACAGAGACTTGCTAAGTTGCTTAGGGTCTCAATAAATCGCTGAGGCTGGGCTTTGAATCTGAGATCTTCCTGCCTCAGCCTCTGGAGTGCTGGGATTATAGGCGAGTGCACAGGGCCTAGCCAGAACTACATTTTTAGCCAGCACCACCAGGGGATCTTGATGCCTTTGCTTCTGTAGTTCACACTTAGGGTCCCAGGAGTCCAAAGCCTTGAGTGTGTGGCTGCAGCAGGAGAAAGGCAAACAGGAGGGGCAGTGACCCTTCCCCTCAGCCTTCTTGCATCTTCTACCCCAGTAGGACCTGCTGGTTAAGTTTCCTTCTCAACAACTGCAAGAGGATTTCTTTTAAACATACTCTCATCCCTTCTCCCCCCTTCTTCACACTCTTCCATGGCTCCCKCTGTCCTCAGGTTAAGTCCAAACTATCTGCATTGCCACTGTTTTTTTCTAGAGCAGACAGCAGCCTGGGAGGCAAGTAAGGAAGGGTTATGGAAGTGCAGGGTTAGATTCTGTCTTTGTGTAAGATTTTGATATTATGTTTGTTATAGATTTTTGCATTTTTAAAAAATTTTAAATATTGCATTAAGATTACTTATCTTGATTCATACGGTGAGTACCTCACTCCTTAACTTTCAGAACCTTCCCAGAGCCCAAGAAGGCAGAGGAGCTGGTGACATCAGCCACTGTCCGGGAGACCCCAGGAGGCTGAACAACTGATTTTCCTGCTTTCGAAGAGGGCAATCACCCACTCTCTTCTGGGAGAGAAGGAGGGATGCAATTCAATTCTCAACTCTAAACCACGCCCCTCCAGCTGTGACTGTATAACATGAAACCTACACAAACTTTTGACTCTTTTTATCCTATCTGGTTTTCCCACAGGAAGGGCATTTGCACATGCTTTTTACCCAGTACGGGGTAAAAGTAGATCGGCCCTTTCCATACTCCCTCTCCCAATTTACTCAGACTTAAAATCCCATCACCTAGTACCCACTGAGCACCCACCCACTGCACCTGGCTAAAATCTCTCTTCTAGGAAGCCTCCTGACCGCAGGCGCTTGCGGCTGGCTCGGCTCATTGTCCTGTGAGTTCCTATGGTGTCTTGCACAGACACCCTCACCCACCCACCCCTCCTTCCTCGGCTGGAAAATATTTCTGCGCAGCTCTTTCCCCTACCATTACCGCCTGCTTTCTGTTTCTCTAGGACGGGTTGCAAAACTGGAGGTGACAACTGTGCGCAGAAAATGGAGGGTTCCCAATTTCCCCTCTGTTAGGCCTTAATCCAGTTTGCCACCCCCAAACCCAAGTTGTGGCTGCAAGGGGCAGACGTGGAAGTGTGTGGTGGGTCTGCGCGTCGCGGGCCCTCCTCTCCAGGGCAAGTGCCTGGAATCTGCCAAGATTGCATAATCCCGGGCTGGACCCCTAGGGCTTCCAGGCTCGCATCCGGTGGCACAGGCGAGATGGAGGCCCAAGGATCTGTCTGCTGCGGGGTGGGGTGGCCCGGGTTTCTTACGCAGGACCCTAACCCTTTGTAACGCAGCCGCCCCTCCAGCCAAGGCTGGAGGACCTGGAAGAGCCGGACGCTTCAGCTGGCCTAGAGTAACTTTCTATAATTAAGGCCCCGGGCGGAGTGGGGTCCCACATCACACCCGGCGGGCGCTGGAGCTCCCCAGGAAACAACAGGGACTTCCAGTGCTCTCCGAAGGATCCGAAGACGAAGAAAGGCGCTAACCCATTGCCCAGTTGGAGACCCGCGGGGCTAGCGATGAGGCCGGGTCCCGCAGCGACCGCAGAGGACCAGGGCAAACTGGGGGGGTGACGAGGCTCCTGGGTGCAGGACTGAAGGTGGGCCGCCTTCGTCGCCGCAGCGGCTCCTCTAGGTGGACACCGCKGGAGCCAGCAGTACTTTGGCTTTTGCTAGGACCGCAAGCCCAGGCACCGACTCTCTRCTCCCCAAACGTCTGCCGAGCGCTCGGGGCCCTGGCCCCTTTATTCCGGTTTTGCTGCAGCGCCTTGGGCTGTAACTCAGGTTCTCCGCTTAGGTTACCGGCTTTCTACCTCGCTTTGCTAGGCCACCTGAGATCTGGCATTGCCATCCAGCAGGTGTGCGAACCCACATCCGTGCCTCCTGCTGGCTCCATCAAGCCAGCGCGCAGCGCMCAGACACTCACTGTGTCCCTGGGACTGCCTTCGGGGATTTCAGGGCGCATCTAAGATTCAAGAGTTTTGGAACCTGATGTCCTTTGAAAGAAACCAGCTCTGGTTCCTAGCCATAATTCAGGATTAAGGTACTCTGAGCAACAGCAGATTGTTTTACCCTTCCTCAAGACAGGCTTCCCAGAACTTGCCGGTGGGGACCTCCAGGAATTGGGATGTCACCAATAGCTGAGGTTGTGAGGAGACCCCAGCAACTACACTGTGCACCCCACCCAGCTCAACTAGCAGGGCTTTGTTGGCTTAGTGGACAGCTCCTGTCCTGATAGAAGGTACTATCTCCAAGAGTCTTCCATTATACTTGGTCCACTGTTCCCGRGAGATAGGATCATCCTTGAAATTTCCCAGTTCCTGGCCCCCACCCAGGTTCAAGGACAGGTAACTTAGGTTCACTCACTCACTTGGTCCTCAGGCCCCAAAAGCCACTCAAGGTTGTGTCTCATACCCTTGATTTTACTAATGCAAAAGGACACCTGGAAAACTTACAGGAAGGGAATCTCACATGTCTAGAAATTATCAGATACCAAAGGACAAATTCCAAGACACAACAGAGATCCTGACACATACACTGAGAACTCCAAACAGAAATGTACCCCAAAGTACAAAGATGCAAATTACAAATACACTCACACTAACAAAGACATACCAAGAAATATCCGACACCTGGGAAAGGAACAGGTGGACATATACAGGACTTTGAACTCTAACAGAGACAGGGACATCCAGGAGTAYGCAAGCCCTGACCCACAAACTTACAGCCTAATACAACAATATTCAGTTCTTCTAAGCCTACTAGCCACAGGAAGCTCCTGCTGAAAGAAAATTCCCTAGCAGAAAACTGAAAGGGCCTCAAGGCTYTTCAGGGAAGGAAGGGTAGGAGAGCCACTGCTAAGCTCCAAAATGCATACGCTCTGTAAAGTGGAAATCATCTACAAAAATCTGTGGAACAACACTCCCATTCCCACCTCTTAGGAAATAGGGAAGTGGTTTAACTCGTTCTGCAAATTAACTCCAGATCCACAAGAGCGCCCTCCCCTTGGCGAGGGAAGGCCAGGCCCAGGAGTCGCAGCCAAGGGAGCCGACCCAGCTCAGGCCACAGCAGGCGGCAGGCTTCAGGACAAAATCACAGACCCCGCTCTACTGCCCAATATCTAGCCAGGCCCGCAGCCTTCGCTGTCCCTCTAAGGGTTCGTGAAGAATGTTCAGAGGCCACCGAGCCTGGTGACGCACAGGAGGCACTGGCGGCAGTGAAGAAAATGGGTCTGTGCTCCCCGGGCCTGCACTATCTCGCCTGGCTCTGCCCTGGCAGTTACACRCCATTCCTTACCTTTCTTTATCACAGACTGGTCCAGGAGGTTCATTCCCGGCTCATCCATGGCCTGCAAGTAGGTGAAGGTGGCAGTGAGGGCGTGAGTAAATCTAGTCGTCTGTCGCKTCCCAAGCCCCTGCTGCCCCTATCTCTGTCCGCTCAGCACTGCGTGCTGCAAAGCCGCCCAAGGCGGCGACGGGTGGGACCGGGATAGCGGTGGCTCGCACTATCTATCTGGCGCCAAGCTGGAATCCTGGGTACTCACCGTGGCTTAGACAAGCAACTACTGCGCCTCCCTTCGCTCCAGGAGCAGGATGCCCCAGAAGACTGCCCATCAGACGGGAATGGATGCCCAACGTGGCTCAATGGCACACCGGAAGAAAGAGAAGAGATTTGATCCCTCCCTGCTCAGAGTTGCGCAGGCACCACGCATTGACAAAGTGCCAGGCTACCTTTAAACTGCGGGCAGTGTCTAAACCAGGACGTGGGACGTATCTTGGAGTGGGAGAACTGGGAGAAAAGTTATGTCCCTGCATTTGTCACTTTTTACCTCCAGCCAGGTTGCTAAATCGCCGCAGCCAGAGGGAGCGAGGGGAGGTGGGTAGCCATCCCAGACCCCTCGAGTCTCACCTGCAGATCTTCCAGGCCAGGTGGCGCCGCCAGCCCGGGAAGGCCCAGGGGCGCCTCAGCTAGGCCGTGCGCACCGTCGGCCAGGCTGTGCAGTAGCCGGGGCACTGCGGCGGCGTAGTCACGGCGCGGGTCKAGACTCAGAGCGCGGGCGGGCGGCGCCAGCAAGCCGGGCGGCTCGTCGTGGGCGCGGGCGGCAGTGCGGGGCGCGGCCCAGGCAGCCTGCGGAGGTTGTGGCTGCGCCAGGGGCGTCAGGCCGCCGTATGGGTCCCCGGCCAGGTGGGGAAAGGCGGCGGCGGCGTCGGGCGCCTGGCCGTAGGGCAGTGGAGGCTGCGGGTAGGGCGGCGGGAAGTAGGGCGGCTGGAAGTCGGCGGCAGCTGCGGCCGCCGGCGTGTGGCAGAGCGGCGGCGCSGGTCCGTAGGCTGCCTGGGGCAGAGACGACAGACGGGCCCCGCCAGCCGCTGCGCCGAGCCCGTCGGGGCGCTCCTGGGAAGGAAAGGGAGAGCTAGGTGACCCACCGGCAGCTGAAAGGACCCCAACCAGAAAGGATCCTTCTTGGCTCCGGAGGATCCAGCTGCCGTCCGATCCTCTTCCTCGGGCCCAGTGTCTATCACCAAATGACCCGCGGGCGCAGGAGCCTCAGGCTGAGGACCGTGGTCTCCTACCCACCTCCCTCTAAGCTGGCGGAGTCCTTACTGCTCCCTCCCTCCGAGATTTCGTTGGCGCTAGGGCAGGAGGTTTGGAAGATGCAGCGCGCGGGCTCCTCGATTCTCCGGCCAAGGGTGCCCGGTGCGGCGGGACCTGAGACTACTCACCATGGCGGAGTAAGTATGCACCAGCATGAGGCGGGTAGTGCGGGGTGTGAGACGTGGCGGCGGCAGAGCTCTCGCCCGACGGCGAGCGCTGCGGGAAGAGGGGCGGGAAGCGGACACAGCCGGCTAGGGTCACCGCGCGGCACCTGGGTACCACCCAGCCCAGAGCCCAGACGGTGTAAAGTCCTCAGCTGTGAGCACCCTGAGGCTGGTCCAAGGAAGCGGAAAGGACTGGCCTCTGATGGCACTTGGAAAAGTCGGTCAACGGGTACCCAGCGCCTGCCCCACTCCCTCTGAGAGCAGCCTGCTCCATGCACTCCAGTTATAGTGGCGGGGGCGCGCCAGGCCTCGGGGGCGCGCATTAAAGAGACAAGCTATGGCCTTTCTCTCCTTTTTCCCTAGCGGTCGCCAAAAGGAGGGCGTGGCTTTGGTGGGATCCGGCTGGCTGGGTAGCGGCGAGTGGATTCGACCCCTGCTGATCTAAGCTGCATTCTGGGTTCGAAGCTCTCGCAACTGCAGTGAAACAGTTCTAGGCTGGGACAAAGAGGCCCTGAATTTGCTTAGCTCTCTGGCATCTTCACCTTTGCCCAAAGCACAACTCTTCACTGGTCTCAGCTTCCTCCTCTGTAAAGTGTGCATCATTTCTCAGGAAAAGAAGGTTGAGTTTTAGGGGGGAAAAATGAGCGATTGATTTAATTTTTTTTTTTGAGAAAAAGGAAAAGATTTATTGCTTTTCTAGCCAAGGAGAAACAGAGGGGACTACTGTCCTAAAGGCTGTGATTCTGCCCACCAGCAGAAACAGGGGGCTTTTAAACAGGTGATTCAAAGGCTACATTCCACGTGTTCTCTGTCTGGAGTTGTAATTCACTTGCTAATTTGGGAGGTTGTCATTTTTTTTTTTTTTTTAGTTGTTGATGTACCTTTATTTTTTGTTTATTTATATGTGGTGCTGAGGATCGAACCTGGTGCCTCACACATGCTAGGCAAGTGCTCTGCCACTGAGCCACAATCCCAGCCCTGTCATGTTTTTTTTTAATTGGTTTTATTTTTTAAATACCTGACAGCGGAATGCATCACAATTCTTATTACGGCATATAGAACAAATTTCCATGTCTCTGTTTGTATATAAAGTATGTTCACACCAATTCATGTCTTCATACATGTACTTTGGCTAAAGATGTCATCACATTCCTCCATCATTGCTAACCCCCTGCCTCCTCCCTTTGCCTCCCACCCCTCTGGCCTACYTAGAGTTCCTCAATTTGGGAGGTTGTCATTTCTGAGATCTTCTGGTACCATTCCTAAAGTCTGGGTTACTTTATTCATGTGGTAATACTGTTTTCCCTGAGATTAGAGAGGGGGGGAGATTAGGGAGGAGCAGGGAGAGAGGAAGAGAAAGAAACATGTCCATTTAAAAAAGTAAGTTGCAGTGGCAGAGCAGCATTATATTCAAAGCAAGTGTTATATTTAAAGTGGACTACTGTTACACTTCCCCAAATTGTCAATTTCTACATTCCATTTCCATGGAAATATGGGGGATGACATCTCCAAACGGCTTCCTGCCGAAAAGGGGTGAAGTTGGGGAAAGTAACCCAAAGTCCTTGTTCTCTATCAGGTGGGGAGTGGACAGTTAAGGCTATTCAGCATCAGAGCAGGATTGATTTAATCTTTAACCACTTCACCCAACTTTGGATGAGGTGGATGACTGTGAATGTGGAAGAAGTTTGTGAGCTGCAAACTTAAGCTCATGTACACACGTGTCTATGTGCATCTATATGGGGAGTCCCTCTGTCTTGAGTGACTCTGGATCAATACTCCTCTGAAGGTGACCACTTCACTCAGGCTTCCTGCATTAGTATCCCTAATGCCAAACTAGGGTCCGAGGAATTTGAAGACACAAACTGGCCAGAGAGAGTTGCTTGTGTTGGGTTTTGGTGTTAACTGCACGTGAGAAGGAACCAAGATGTTTCTGAAGCCATAGGAAACTAGGCTGAGTGTGGGCCTGTGACATCTAGATGCTATAGAGTGAATCTGTGTGTAACTGACTCACATGGACAGGGTGCAATACTAACATGCATAGGCTGTGTGTTTGTGTGTTATCATGGCAGGCACTGGCTGGCTGTCAAGCATGTTTCAATCTCTATAGTCAATCCCTCCTTTTCCCTTCTAAAACTCAACCTTCCCCTCCTGAGAAGCACAGACAGGGGTTAAATTAAGGCAAATAAGAGGAATGCTAAGGATAATGGGAATTAAGAAAAAAGAAGGAAGATATTTTATTTTTCCATATTTTTATTGGTGCTTTATTGTTGCACATAATGGTGGGATTTGTTGTTACATATTTGTACATGCTCACCATATAACACTATAATTTGGCCAATATCATTCTATAATATTTCCCCTTTCCCTTCCCTCCTTCCTTCCCCTGGTCCTGTTACTCTACTGATCTCCTTTCGAYTTTCTTGAGATTCCCCCCCACCTTTCTTTTCCTTTTTCCTCTCTCCCTTTTTTTATTTTTATTTTTTATATAGTGCTAAGGATCGAACCCAGTGCCTGTGTTACGCAAGTGCTTTACCAGTGAGCCACGACCCCAGCTCTCCCCTCTAACTTCTACATATAAGAGAGAACATACCATCATTGATCTTCTGAGTTTGGCTTGTTTCGCTTAACATAAGGTTCTTAAGTCCATCCATTTTCCTGCAAATAACATAATTTCATTTTTCTTTACATAGTTGAATAAAACTCTATGGTGTATATATGCCATATTTTCTTTATCCATTTATCCTTTGATGGACACCTAGGTTGGTTCCATAGTTTGGCTATTGTGAATTGTGCTGCTATAAATACGGGTATGCATGTATTGTTATAGTATGATGACTTATTTTTAAAATATTTTTTTTGGTTGTACATGGACACAATACCTTTATTTTATTTCTTTTTATGTGGTGCTGAGGATTGAACTCAGTGCCTCACACATGCTAGGCAAGTGCTTTACCACTGAGCTACACAACCCCAGCCTGTTGATGACTTATTTTTTTGTACTGGGAATTGAACTCAGGAGCACTTTACCACTGAGCTACTTCCCAAACCCTTTTTATTTTTTATTTTGAGACAGGGTTTCACTAAGTGTGTGAGGCCTTGCTAAGTTGCTAAAGCTGACCTCAAACTTGCACTCCTCCTGCCTCAGCCTCCTGAGTTGTTGGGATTACAGGCATGCTCCACCATGTCCAGTTTGATGACTTAAATTCTTTAGGATAAACACTGAGGAATGGTATAACTGGGTCATATGGTGGTTCCATTCTTAGGTTGTTTTTTTTTTTTTTTTTTTTTTAAATCAGGGATTGAACCCAGGGATGCTTAACTACTGAGCTACTTTCCCAGCCCTTTTTTTATTTTTTGATTTAAGACAGGGTCTCTTTTAGTTACTTAGGGTCTTGTTAAATTGCTGAGGCTGGCTTTGAACTTGCAATCCTCCTGCCTCAGCCTCCTGAGCTGCTGGGATCATAGGTGTGTGCCACTGTGCCAGGCTTCCATTCCTAATTTTTTGAAAAACCTCCCAAGAAGGTATATATTTTAAAAAGCAAGAAGATGCACAGGGCATAGTAGAAATAATAACAGCAAAGATTTATTACAGCGTATGCCAGCCTCTGTGCTAAGTATATTATGAATATTAAGTTATTTAACCCTCACCGTGGTCTCTCTCTCTCTCTCTCTCTCTCTCTCTCTCTCTCTCTCTCTCTCTGTGTTGTAGATGGACAGCATACTTTTATTTTATTTATTTTTTATGTGATGCTGAGGATTGAACCCAGTGCCTCACACATGCTAGGCAAGCGCTCTGCCTCTGAGCTACAGCCCCAGCCCTCACCATAGCCTTTTGAGATCCATATGCAGGTGAAGAATGAGGTAAGGCAGTAAGAGTTGAAATGACATGCCCCARGTCAAGCAGCTAGTTAAGTGGCAGTGCTGGGGTCATCCCCCTCTGGCCTCTCTGGGTGCCCAGGATCACTGTTTTGTACTTCCTTAGACTCAGGAGCTTACAATTTAATCCTGTCTCTAAGTGACTGTGTGATCCCAGGCAAGTCTCTTCTCCTCTTTGATCTCAGTTTCTGCAACAACAGCAATAAAATAGGGTTGGGTGGAAAGGACTAGTTGTTTTCTTCGATCTCTGTTTAGTGAAGTAGTAAAATTGAGAGGAAGTAGAGGAAAAGGGGACAGAAAGGTGACATCATTAACTCATGGAATGTATGGTACTAGGTGAGTATCTCAGAAGACACATGACAGGTACAGAGCTTAGACTGGGTCATCTCAGCTTGAGGGATTTTAGGGAAAGGAGTCTAGCAACCAAGGATTCATCCCTAAGAACTTCCCAGAGTCTGGAGCCAGCAGCTAGGTGGATGAAACAGATGGGTAGCTCTGCAGGCTTCCTGCTCAGGACACATGAGAGGTGAGGAGTGAGTTGTGTGTGTATTCATACCTGTGGGTATGTGAGTCTGAGGGAACCCCCCTCTCCTACCCTAAACCTTAGCCACAAGGACCTCAGAAGTCAAATCCAGGAGAGMCACTAGTGTGTGGCAAGTACCTTGGTGGATGCCTTCAGAAGTCCAGGAGCAGCAAGGGGGTCAATGTCCATGCCCAGCTCTGGAGATCCCATTGCTCTCTCCAACAGGCTTGAGAAGGCCAGACGGACAGGATAAGCTGCCTCTTGGTGGCTTCCCTGGGTTTCTTCACCCTAATTACCTGCAGTTTCACCCCCCGCCCCACTTCTTACCTCATTCTCCTACTCTGACCATTTCTGTCCTTGTGTCTCCTCCCTTTTCACCCTCAACTTTAATGTCAGCTTTCCATTCTCAGAGCAGTTGCTGCCTTTTCTTATCTTCATGAGTGAGTTCACCCGCTCAAGTCTCTAATGACTCTGTGTCTGCTGTTATTTCCCGGACCATGTTATTTCCAGTCTGTAGATCTCACTAGAGATCCAGAACTACACATTCAAGTGCCAGCTGGAGGTCCCCTCAGACATTTCCTTGCATCCATTT